ATTGGAAAGTAGTTAGCCCATAAAAGTGAATGTATTGTAGGAGACAATGTTTTTATGAAGCCCATCCTCATTTGTAATAAAGAGAAAGCGTTTATTTACTTAATGTCAGATGTTTATGCATAATTAATTTCGAAGGATAGTGTGCTTTGCATCCAGGTGTTTTCATACACTTCTGCTATTGTGTTACAGGCAGATAACGGTGGCACATAGTTTCCTCCTGTTTCTGAAAGGTTGCGAATCTGTAAGTATTTTCTGGTTTTCTTTATTATAATTTCATTTGATATTTTTTAGACAACACTGAAATATTTTTAAATGTGTTAGTGTAAGTCTAAAAGTGTTTAAGAGTAGCCTTGAACTACTATTCATATCTCAAGTTAGTTTATTATCATACAATCAAAACGTTATTATGGTAAAGAATAATGTTTTAGCTTTTTATCACCTTTTAAATGTGTAGTGTAAGTCTAAAAGTGTAATGAGTAGCCTTGGAATTCTTACGGTGGTTTATTTTTTCTTTTGTGTATTTTACAATATGGACTTTTTTACCTGTCATCTATTCATCGATGATTCGTAGACTCTGTTTAAACAGGCGTTTTACCCAATATGTTTTTTACTGCATTACAGTACCCTCTGTGAGATTGCCAGGCCAAGAGGTACGCAGTTCCTCTTTTAACAAATCAAGAGGGATGTCAATGGAAGACTATGACAAGCCTACTAAGCGTGTATAAATAAGGGGGTCATCTGATGGAAACAGACGAAAACCAATCCAAAGATATGTCTAAAACGTCTGTGATTGTATAATAGATAGTGTATTTCGCATCCATTTATCCCAGACCAGTATATTACACGATTGGTGCCTTGATGTGTTTTGCAAATATTAGGTCTATATTTCGTGTTTGAATAAATAACTGTTTCTTCTCTCGCTATGCTTTGGCTGATTTGGGGCAGACAAGCAGGCTTAGACTGTGATATTCTGTGCAATTGCACTGATGGCCGTCTTTTTCTTGTTCCATTGTTGCATAGGTACTTAGGTCAGGGTCTGGTACATTCGCATTGTGGCTATTGTTTAAAATCGCTGGCTGCCTTTTATTTGGAGTTAGTGGCAGGGCTCTTATCTATTTAGTTGCTAATCGTGGGAAACTTGTAATTATTTATTCAGCATTTTTGTAAGTAATTACTTCTCGAAATTGTGATCATGGGTACCGTTTAAACTTTCTTCATTGCCTTCACAATTTGCGAGCTGCATTTTAGAGACGTATTTTTCAGTTGCAATCGTGGTTAATCTATACAATAGTTGAAGTTCATTGAAGTAGGTTTTATTTCATTTATAAAAATCAAGTTAACATGCACGCACGCACGCACGCCCGCACCTACGCAGCACGTATGCATACACGCATGCTCACACACACGCACGCACGCACGCGCGCACACACACACACACATATATATATATATGACAAAATGTTCTTAAATTGCTAATGTAATTGTGACTTGGACAGTTTGTTCAGATTTTGCAATGTAAACCTTTTTGATGTTCCATACCAAAACGTCGTCATATTGATGTTATCGTATTCATTAGGTCATTGTCCCATTTCGTTTACGTCACAAGGCATTTAAATATGAAATATAAGATATGTTAATTTTGTCTGATAATATGTGGGAAGTCGTGCATATTTTCTGATTGCTAGTAGTGATTGACATTCATTCGTTATATTGCTGATAAACACACTCGATCGAGTTGAATAAAACTTGAGTGATGTTAAGTAAATATGTCATCTGTTTACATGTGATATATTTCAGGAATTTCTGATTGTAGATCTGTTTATTCTTTTATCATTTGGTGTTTCTCTGTCTTGAAATCTTCCCTAACTAACCAAACGTACTCGTTGGTAACACACTGCATGCGCACAGATTTAACAGGGAAGATTGATTTTTGTTTTATATTTCGCGCATTATTTTTCTCGAATTTATCGGCTTCATCATTAGTTTTACGATACGATATATATATATATATATCGCATATATGCTCTGTTCTGTAACCGCGAAGTGTAAGAATGAATTGCCCTAAATTCGTATGTAAACGTAATTTCGCAAGTACGTACGTACGTGGGGCCTACTTACCTCCTAAATAACAAGTAACTGTATAACTATCATCTTATTTCCTATCATTCCGCGTGAATTCGGGTCTGTGGTTCTCTATCTGCCGTACAATTAAAATTTACTAATGTGTGTAGAAACCAAGTTGGACCAGGTTTGATCGTATATTTATTCTGTCTTCGCATAATTACAGAATAATATCTATCCATCTCCAGACAGATTTTTTCGCCTTATTCTGCAATTGCGGTTTGATATAATCAACCAAAAATATGTCGGGTTATCAGGGCCGTAGTGGCCGCCACGGCAGCACGGCACTGCCGTGGCACTATTTTGAAGAAAAAAAATTCTGCAGGGAACCAAGGAGC